AAAAAAAGGCCAAAGTGGTGAAACACAACCTGTGCATAGCACGGGTGATATGCTAGTACTATATATTAGGCAAAAGAGAGTTTTTAACTCCAAACCTTGTGGGAGCCCCAATCTCCCAATCTAAATTTTCTGGTTTTTTGACTTTAAAAAAAAAAATCTTAGCATTTTTTAACTTCTCTCAACTCCCAAGTCTTACCATCATAATAGCACTTTAATGCATTAAGAACAACCATAAAAAAAAAAAAAAATCTTTGAAATCTAATACATATGAATTCCTTGAAAAGTCCCACACATATGATTATTATCCCTCATAATAACACTTAAAAAAAAATCTTAGCATTTATTAACTTCTACCAAGTCTTACCATCATAATAACACTTTAATGCATTAAGAACAAGTATAAAAAAAATTCTTTGAAATCCAGTGTATGAATTCCTTGAAAAGTCCCAACACATATGATTATTATCCCTCATAATAACATTTTAATGCATTAAGAGCAAGCATAAAAAAAATTTCTTGAAAAGTCCAACACATATGATTATTATCAAAATATTAAACTTTAATATAATATAATAATAAAAAAAGACATTTAATTCATTGAAAAATCCAACATATATGATTACTAGCGTATGCCCGTGCCTAAAGGCACGGTGTAAATAATATTAAGATTAAAATGCAGTTATAAAAATATATTTAACAGACTATACTCTACAATTCCAAACAAATCAAACCTAACACTATAAAATGAAAATAAATCATGACTGGTGAAACTGGAATGTGCATGCCCAAGCTTGATATTGAATTTTTATTACGTGTGATTGGGATGAATAGGTTTTCCATGTTTTTCTAGGCAGCCTACAGGAACCTAAAAATTCAATGTCAAGCTTGGACATGAAATGTCCTCCAGGTCTTTCTAGGCATTATATATTGTAATGAAAAACATTAACAGTAAGAATATGTGAGTCGTAAGTGTATATTATTATAAATATTGCTTTTACTGTAAAGATATTGTCAAGACCTTCCTAGTGCACCCAAGCAATGAGCTGAGAATTGCCATCCAATTACGATACTTGTTCTAAAGTTTATCAAATTTCTAATTATTTATTTGTAATAAAAAGATTGATATTCAAGTGTATCTGCAGGGAAGGCCTTGAAGTCACTGATGATGTATCTATTGTGGAGCACCTAAAACATCCCGTATAGATAACTGAAGGATCTTACACCAACATCAAGGAAGTGAAATTTGCTCTATGATCTTGAGGGGAAAGGTGGACTATTTAACAATTGAACACAGAACTGTTAGCTTATGGATTCATACATGCAATTTAGACTCAGATTCATTTTTTTCTCATTGTCTTGAACATGACCATGTTTTACTTTTCATTTATGAACTAATATTCGAAGTCTTTTATGATCTGTAGGTTATGACCCCTGATGATTTATTACTTGCAGAAAGGATATTGATTATCAGCTCTTCACAGACATCGTTGTAAAATTCACTCTTTTTGGCCCCTTTTTTCCCCCCTCTTTAGGCAGATCTGGGCTGGAAAACACATTTTTCGAAATTTATTTTTTTATATAGAGGGTTTTGGAATGGAACTACTTTTACTCATTCAAATGTTTCTCCTCTTTTTTTTCCCCCTGTTTGGGCAGATCTGGGCTGAAAAACATTGTAAAATTCACTCTTCTTGGCCCCTTTTTTTCCCCCTCTTTAGGTAGATCTGGGCTGGAAAACACATTTTTCGAAATTCATTTTTTTATATAGAGGGTTTTGGAATGGAACTACTTTTACTCATTGAAATGTTTCTAATGGAAGCAAGTAGAAAATGAATAAATGATAAAATTCATGGGAAAATAATTGTATGATTCTAATTAATGATGTCGAATTGGGAAATTGTTAAGTATAATCAATAGTTGGTTGAAGTAAGGTATTGGGATCTTGATTGTCATGGTGGAACACAAATATGAAATCCATGTATGGACTAATTCATGAAAACATGATACTTAAAAACAAACACAAAAAGCAATTTTGGAATAGAATCATAACCAGGAAATCGTAAATTATATACACACACAAAAAAACATGAAATTGCTTTAAATCAATCAAATTCCGAAAATTCAATACAAAACATGTAAATTCTAAAAACAAACTTCAAAATTAAAATAAGTTTGTAATTACGATCTCCTTACTATGTATTCATGAAATGAAGGAAAAGAACAGAGAGGGAAGGGTTAAAAATTATTCGAAGTCTTTTATGATCTGCAGGTTACGACCCCTGATGATTTATTACTTGCAGAAAAGATATTGATTATCAACTCTTCAGAGACATCGTAGTAAAATTCACTCTTTTTGGCCCCTTTCCCCCCCTCTTTGGGTAGATCTGGGCTGGAAAACACATTTTTCGAAATTCATTTTTTTATATAGAGGGTTTTGGAATGGAACTACTTTTACTCATTGAAATGTTTCTAATGGCAGCTAGTATAAAATGAATAAATGATGAAATTCATGGGAAAATAATATTATGATTCTAATTAATGATGTCGAATTGGGAAATTGTTAAGTTTAATCAATAGTTGGTTGAAGTAAGGACGAAAATTTTGTTGGAGATGAGATGCAATGACACAATCTGTCAATGCAGTAAAGCTGCGGGTTGGGCACTTTTAAGGTGAAACCCCAATGTGCATGTCCAAGCCTAAATTTTGTCCTTCTAAATGATCGAAAGAGAGCTTGCAACTCTTTAAAACTGGCAAAGGTTAGAATTGGAGGCCGTTGTTTGAATATTAGAAGGGGAATTTAAAACTCTTTTTATTTAAACTCTTTAAAACTCTTTTTATTTGAAATCTTTTGGATTTATTTTTTTTCTTTTCAATAGAGAGAGAAGGGAAATAGAGACATAAATATTACCTTGCACAGATAGAAGCCTCAGGTTTGGTGTAGCTTTGAAGTAGCTCCACCGGAGAGCTCCAATCGGGGTTCGAAGCAGATTTTGCACACCATACCAAACAACACAACAATTTAAAAAATAGTAAACAACACAACAATATAAAAAATAGTAACCGAAATTTGGCAATTGAATGTTATAATAAATGATAAAATTCATGGGAAAATAATATTATGATTCTAATTAATGTTGTCGAATTGGGAAATTATTAAGTTTAATCAATAGTTGGTTGAAGTAAGGACAAAAATTTTGTTGGAAATGAGATGCAATGACACAATCTGTCAATGCAGTAAAGCTGCGGGTTGGGCACTTTTAAGGTGAAACCCCAGTGTGCATATCCAAGCCTAAATTTTGTCCTTCTAAATGATCGAAACAGAGCCTGCAACTCTTTAAAATTGGCAAAGGTTAGAATGGGAGGCCCCTGTTTGAATATTAGAAGGGGAATTTAAAACTCTTTTTATTTGAAACTCTTTTTATTCATTCAGTTAGCAATTCTAATGGCATTTTTAAAAATCAAAATTGTGTGACAAATATTCAAAAAACTGTAGTCTTATAAAACTTCATATACATTAGACATGTGCTAATGAGACACAAACATAATTGAAATTTTCCATAAGCACAATGAGGTGATAAACTAATGAGTAGAAACCCAGCTAATACATAAACTCAAGCACATATTCCAGTAGCTCATCTAAGCAATAAATCTCTAAATTGTCTCAAAATACAGACTCAAACTAAAGGCTATAAAATTAAGACAAATTACTATACCATTATACATATACATCATAATACACACGCGTATAAATATCATGTTGAGTTTTCATAATACACACGAAAAATATATCATGGTGAGAAAGGTTGTAACAATAAAGTATGTCCCATACTCCTAAATTAAGGCCAAGCAATTTGTTAAGGGCTACAAAGCCACTTACAACCCTAAAAGTATTCATGGCTATCTCCATGGGGTGGAGTTTGAAGTAATGGAAGAATTTGAGCCACAAAAGGTCCAAAGGGAACCTAACTCCCCCTTCTACGATGGCTCCTACAGGAAAAGGCACAGTGTCATTGGTTAGAGTTCGAAGTGTGTGTAACCCCCCTAACACTAGTGTAACATCTTTGGGAATATGGTACTTCTTGCGGAAGAGAGCTAGTTTAGACGGTGTTGTGGACTCACCTTTTTTCCGCGCCCCACCTTTCGGAAAGGGTTTTGAAAAGAAAGGCCTCAGAGTTCAAACTCATGCGGTTCTAAATCTAGTCTCACAAAGTGCAATATGACCCTGATAATCACCAAAGAGTCCAAATCTAACAAACTTTTTTGAAAAAATCGATTTTAAATCAAATAATGTCAAAATTGGACTGCTTTGCCAGATACAGAGTAAAAATGTATGTATTCATGAAATGAAGGAGAAGAACAGAGAGAGAAAGGGAAAAAATAAATCATCTGTTCTTGCCTTTGGAGCTCCAACTTTTGATCCAACTACACTTGTTTTGATTTGAATACCCATTTGGATTTTCAAAACCAATAACAATACAAATTAATGATCCAATATATATATATACATCATATCATATCATTATTACCATCATCATTACCTGCTTTATGAAAACAACTATTTTAGAGTTTGATAACTTACTTTTTTCACCATTTTCAATCTGTGGCTGCAGGATTGAAAAGAAACAAATAAATTAGAAATTCGAATATGAATAAGTAAAAGACAACATACAATTACAGTCTTTTTCCCCCTTTCCACTGTTTTCCTTTTATATTTTTTATTTTTCGTCTCCCTTTTTTTTTTTTGATGTGGGTGGACACGAAAATGAGTAAAGAAAGACATGAAGGCCTTCAAGGGAAATGAAAGAGCACATATGGTATCATCTTAATTGTTAATTTTCCAGAATTCATTTACATTTACATTTGATTAAAGAGTGCATGAATTTGGTTGAGGGCATAGAAAAGATGACAAAACATAAAACTGAAACAGTATAATGAATAAAATCAAATTAATTAAGTGAATCAAACAAAACAAAACAATTATCATGTTGAAGAAAGCTTTCCAACCTTATCAATAAAAGATGTAGGGTAACATCGATATGTTTGCTCAAGTGATGCTCCATGATATCCATATCCATCAAAATACTGCAATGTGTCCCCACCAATGAAATGAATTATGACAGTGATAATGATATAAACAACAACTACAATAATATAGTAATTGTAATAGTTATTAACTGTTATTTTTATTTTTATTACAACATCTAATGAAATGAATTAAGACGGTGAACATAATTAAACAATATCTATATATATTGAAATAACTAAATATGCACTGATTTGGGCAGCAAAATATAGTAATTAAAAGTGAAGCAATTAATATAATTCAAACATGTCCATAAACAAATAGTTATCAAATGGAAATTTACAGTAATGTCCATAAACAAATAGTTATCAAATGGAAATTTACAGTAAGGGAAATGTAATACATATAGAAGTTGTATACAGATTGTGCAAAAATCATAAAAACATTAAACACAAAAGGACAGTTCTCTATTTTTATAGAGACAGAGCACTTCAACTAAGCCCTCAACTTCATAGTAAAACAGCAAAATCATGAAATTGAACAACTGTACCAAATTCGAACAACAAAATCATGAAACTCGACGGTTTCCTCAATACACCAATTAAACTCCAAAACAGAACCCTAAAATAACAAAACATTTTGGATTTATTAACAGACTTTATGACTCTAAAGTATAAACTTCATATCAACACAAAAAATAAAAATAAAAGCATCATTGCTAAGCAAGTGAAGAAATTTTTTTTTTTATAAACACAAAATAAAACACACAAACCAAAGGAAGTGAAAAGAGATAGTAATATACTTGCAACAATATAATATAAGAAACGCTTCTCTTTTGAACTCTAAAACAGAAGAGGATAAACAACAGGAAAATAAGAAAAGGAACTGAAGTTGGAGTAAAAGCATACAAAAGAGTTCAAGAGAGATGCATCTCATTCCTACATGGTTTTGCTCCCAAAAAGTTGGAAGGCCCCATGTCTAAAGCTAGCAGTTCATACCATGTGGAGGAGCACCCATGTCTAAAGCCTCCAAAAGATAGCCAAATTTTGCTTCAGCCTGTAGGCAAAACAGAGCCCATATTACATATGTGTCAATAGTTTCTAGATTTAACATTCGGCTATTCCTTTCCTTGGGAGCAATAAGTATTAACACATCAATCTAAGAAAATTCAAAAGTTCCAAGTGGTGTCCAATTGGAACTCATCTTTAAATGGTAAATATATGTGGCTGTATCTATCATTTCAAAAATATTTTAACTAAAAAGAAAATAAAAATCAGAAAGTAGTGTGCAAACCACAGTGATCTACCCAAAACTTGCCAGGAACTATTTTCCAAAGTGCCAACATCACATGTGTTTCAATTCAATGTAGTGTGCACACCACAGTGATCTAATATCTTGAAGAATTGGCCAATGCATGAAAATATATTGATGATTGTTAGTAGTACAATGAAAATTTTGGCCCATAGAAGTATGAAAACCATGATAATATTAATATCAGGTAATTCAAAAGATCTACATATACTTTCTCCAATTTGGTACTTACATATTGCATTAGATGGGAATATAAAAATAATTTACAACGTAAGAGATAAAACACAGCCCTAGTAATTAATAATTGAGCAACCCAGCCAATATTCATTAAGTGTCTCCTTACCTGCTCAGGGGAAATGCCAACAATTTCCAAAACATTTTCTTGAAACTCACGCTTATAAATTCTCAAGCTTTCTCCACCAATCTGATAGCACCACAACAATTAAGTATTGCACCGTTGAATTTCACATGTTAAGTATTGGCAAAAGATCAATATTGCAACTAACAGAGAATAGAGTACATATTTATATACCTCAAAAAAACACTCATCAGTTCTACAGTGAGCAAGAAATTGGGTACCGATGATATGTATACAAATTGGGTACCGATGCTATTAAATAAAATATCCATTATATAATCATTGAAGTGGATTCCACACCAACTGATTGTGTGAATGCTATTTGTTAATTGCTCCTCGTGCAACAAACCAAGTGACAGAACATTCCTAAAAAATGTAAAGTCCTAAAAAAACAATTTTACCCTTCTCATTATATGAACAAAGGTATTATATTAAAATAGTCATTATATATACATAGAGATAGAAAACTAATTACCTCACATTAATAGTTTTCAATGCATGCATTTTATGGGATTTTGGTTTTCATGTTTTAATTATGTTAATTTATTAGTTCTTGAAATATGAAATCTATGCTTCAATTAAAATATTTGTTGACCAAGTAGCACTTTTTACTCTGTTAACTTGAAAGCTGTTTTTAGAATTGGATTTATAACTGATTTCATCCCAAAACCCAAAAAATGAGAAGAATCCAAGACAGCAGAGGTCAGAGAGACCCGAAATTAGATGCAAAGAGATCAAGCATGTCTAAGAATTGTCACTGCGAAAACATCATGATTTCCAAATTAGTATCTAAACATCATGAAAAAGCTTTGGGGGCAAGCATGTCTAAGAATTGTATATGGGCCTATGTGACTTGAAATCAATCTTTCTATGATACTTCCCTATTCAATTCTAACAAATTGAACTCATCTTGGTAACCAATGGTGTTCTAACAATATGTTGAAAATACAATTTTATTTTCCCTACTAAAAAAAAAGGAACTGGAGGAACTGTATATGTAAAAGATGGTGCCTGGGCAGGCATTGCTGATGGATAAGATGACTGAGACGGCATCCATGATATCGAAGGGGTACCGAGGCTGGAAGTGCTCAATAAGCCTGCTGGAGCTGCCACATTTGGTAGAGCACCATGCAAGGATGCCATGGAAGGAAACTACATAACAGGAAACACAGAATACATCAGATTAAATCCTTCTTTTGAAAATTTTTTTTTTGCGATGTGACTGCTAAAATTCTTTAAAATAGAAATCAATCAATGCGCAAGATTCAAATTTAACTGACAATGACATACTATTATGTAACTGATTAAGCAAACCAAAAAGGGAAGGTTGAATTACAATCTAATCAGATATCTTATATGCAGGTGCTTTGATCAGAGCCCTATTTAATCAATCACACTCAAAAATCAATCTTCCTGTCAATAAATCATTTCCTGTCAACTTTTCTATTCTACTTTTCTGATATGACCATAAATGTGAGTAGCATGCACACAAAACCATGTAAGCAAACATTGCAAATTTCCTTCTTTTAAAAAAATCTATATATACAGTATATATGTTTTGGTGACTATAAACTAACATCCAAAAAAAGTAATAAACTAACATAAAAGTAATAAAAAAGTAATGTACCCACAAACACATTACACACCTCAGATCTGTACAGAGATCTTCCTTCCACCCACTTTAATTAAGTCAAAACAAACCAATAATTGCAATGTATTACCTCTCCTGTGTATACAGTTACGACATGGGGTGTAAAGTCCACTCCTGCTGTGTTTGATCATAACTGGATTTGATCCCAAAAAATATATATAGGTCCAGATTTATTCATAACTGGATTTGATCCCAATTTTTTTATTTTATATATATATTGAATCATTCTCTAGTGTATTATGAATGTCTAACTTTACTGTCACTTGATATATTAATATTATTTGGTCATATCTGATTGCTTGTATCTATGGTAGAGAATACCTCTTCAGAAAGTTAGGTTAGATTTGAGTTAAATTTTGAGTCAGTCGAAGCAACCAACCAAAAAGAAAACTATATTATAAAAAGTAACATATAGAAAGTGGCAGATCAGTACACAAAGCTAAGTCAGAGCAGTGCTATCATTGAACCATTGAAACCTCAATCCAAAACCTAAAACTTGTGGATAATGAACAATGATTATCCCAAACAGAGAGAGATGTATCTGTGAAAGAGAGATGTATTCAAGAACAGAGAGGGAGATGGAGAGAGAGATAGAAAGGGAAGGTGGGGAGGCAGATGTGGGTAGGTGGGAAAGACAACGATGCTTAGGGAGAGAAGTCATGGGCGGGAGATCTATTGATCTTAGCCATTGGATCAAAATGTATCTCACATACAATTTAATACATTTTTCAAAATCCTTTGAGCCTTATTATATAGATTGTCAAAATATTATTAAGCTTTAATATAATATAAAAAAGTAAAAAAAGAAGACATTTAAAAAAATATTTAAAAATTACTATTCACATATATAGATAATTGTAAACACAAGGGGGTTTTTAACCCAAGGCATGTGGGAGCTCCAATCCCCTAATCCTAATATTCTAATTTTTTGATTTAAAAAAAAAAAAACCTCAGCATTTATTGACTTCTCCCAACCCACAATCCCTTTTGACTTCTCTCATAATTATTGCAACACCCTTTTCAATTTCTCCCATACACTATGGTTACACACAAAAATAAAAATAAAAAAAGATAAGAATTTAGCTATAAATCTCAAAAAGATATAACATCTAAATTTGAATTATGATTCAATAATATAATTATGTATTTTTTTTATGTATATCTATCAAAATTTTAAATCACTTAATGGAAAAAATTAATCAATTTTCCAAAATTATTGATTTTTAATTTACAAAATAGATTAAAAAAAACTATTGACTGATTTATTTATTTAATAACAAAAATATTTTATAATCTCTCCCTACTAATCTCTCTTACAAATTTTCAAAAAAATATATTAAAACTTGCATTCTTTTTCTCTTCCCAAAAAAATCAGATAATATTTTTTATTAAAGTTGTAGATATCTACCTATATTTTATATATTATATTATAACATAACAAAAAAAAACAAAAAAATTAAATTTTTTTTTATAAAGTTTATCTAAATAAATTTTAAATCAATAAAACTCACATGCCTATTACATATCTAACTCACATCATAACTTATCTAAATAATAATAATTAAAAATAAATGGAAACCGCAGATAAATTAATTTTTTTAAAAAAAGATACCCACAACTCCATCTTAAATAAATTGAAAAAAAAATACCCGAATAGAAACCACACAAAAATAAAAATAAAAATATATATCTATCTATCTATCTATATATATTAAGAAAAAGAGGGTTTCTACCCCCAAGTCTTGTGGGAGTTCCAATATCCCAATCTAAATTTTCTGATTTTTTATTTAAAAAAAAAACCTTAGCATTTATTAACTTCTCCTAACCCCCAAGTATTAAAAAAATTCTTTAAAAAGTCCAACACATATAAATTCCTTGAAAAGTTCCAACACACACGATTATTATCCCCCATAATAACACTTTAATACATTAAGAACAATCATAAAAAAAAAATTTCTTGAAAAGTCCAACACATGAATTTCTTGAAAGTCCAACACATATGATTATTATCAAAATATTGCACTTTAATATAATATAAAACAAACATTTTAAAAAAAAGACATTTAAAAATCACAATTCACATATATAAAAATAATTGTGAAGTACGTATGAATTCTTTGAAAAATCCAACACATGATTATTATTCATCATAATAACATTTTAATACATTAAGAATAAGTATGAAAAAAATTTATTGAAAAGTCCAACACATATGATTAGTATCAAAATATGAAATTTTAATATAGTATAAAAAAAAAGAAAAAAAAAAGACAAAGTAGTGAAACACAACTCGTGCATAGCACGGGTGATATGCTAGTAACACTTTAATGCATTTAGAATAAGCATAATTTTTTTTTTTAAAATCCAACACACGAATTCCTTAAAAAGTCCCAACACATATGATTATTATTTCTCATAATAAAACTTTAATGCATTAAGAACAAGCATAAAAAAAAATTCTTGAAAAGTCCAACACATATGATTATTATCAAAATATTATACTTTAATATAATATAATAAAAAAAAGAAGACATTTAATTCCTTGAAAAGTCCAACACATAAGATTATTATCATATCATCAAATATTAAAATTTAATATAATATAAAAAAAGACATTTAAAAAAAAAATTTAAAAATCACAATTCACATAGAGCTTCAATCTTCAACATTAATTTTCTAAATTATTTATTTAAAAAAAAATTAGCATTTATTGATTTAGTCAAAATCTCCTGATCAACATTTATTAATTTTTTTTCAATCCACATGTCTTTCCACATGCCTGCATTTATTGATTTGGTCAAAATCTCTAATCAACATTTAAAATCTCCTCATATAAATAATTATAGATACAACCTGTGCACAGTTACTGCAGTAGTCTTTTTAATTTCTCATATACACCATGGTTAGTGATAAGATTGTTAAATTATTTTTATAAAAAATCTTAAAAAAACATAATTTATATATTAAAAAAAATTTAAAACAAATATAAATATCTATAAATATCTATAATTATCCCGTGCATAGCACGGGTGACAAGCTAGTACGTATTATATATTAAGCAAAAGGGGGTTTCTAACCCCCAAGGCTTGTGAGAGCTCCAATATGACAATCCTAATTTTCTAATTTTTTATTTTTTTTTAAAAAAAAACTAACCTCAGCATTTATTTACTTCTCTCAACCAACAAGACTTTTTGACTTATCTCATAATTACTGCAGTACCTTTTCCAAAACAAATAATTTGTATATTAAAAAAAATTTAAAAACAATAAAATATCTATATCTATCTATTATATTATATTTGTCTCTAACCCCACAATGTTTGTGGATTTCAATACTCTGAACCTTAATTTCCTAATTTTTTTTGATTTTTTTTGAAAAAACACTATTACTTATGTAAATCTTCCAAGTCTTTTAATTTCTCTCGAATACACATCTAAACTCTAAACCCTAAACATAAACACTCCACTAAAAAAAAATGTGATTGTATATGTGATGTGATTGTAATTTGTTCAATAGCTCTTTTTCTTAATATGATTGTTGTAGTTAGTTTAATATTTTTTTTTTAATGTTATTTAATTTTTTTATTTACTATTTTAATTTTATTTTTAATATGATTGAAATTAGATAAACAAAAACACTTACAAAGAAAAAAATGTGATTGTAATTAGTTCAATGTTTTTTTTTTTTTAATGTGATTGTAGTTAGTCAATGGTTATTTTATTTTATTTATTTATTTATTTTGTTATGGAAAAAATGTGACGTGATTGTAGTTTATTCAATGGTTCTTTTTTTTAATGTGATTTAATCTTTTATTTACTGTTTTAATGGTTTTCTTTACAATTACTTATAAAAAAATATGATTGTAGTTAGATAGCATAAAAATATTTGTGATTTGATTTGATTTTTTTCTGATTTAATTTTTAAAGTACCAATTATTGATAATGATTAGATTGTATTTTGAAAAAAAAAAATTGTAATTGATTTTTTTTAAGTCACTGTGTTTTTTGAAAAAAAAAGTTGTTATGTTTTTTTAACTATCAATTCACTTAATTTGTTATTTGATTTTTAACTCACTATGTTTTTTGAAAAACAAAATGGATTGTACCCATTAGGGTCACATAATGTACCAATTATTGATGATGATTAGATTGTATTTTGACCCAAAAAAATTGTAATTGATCTTTTTAACTCACTATGTTTTTTGAAAAATAAATTATTGTGTTTTTTAATTATCAATTGACTTAGTTTGTGATTGATTTTTTTAATCATTGATGATGATTAGATAGCATTAAAAAAATGAATAATGCTTGGGACCCCCTTTTGGAGGTCACCCCCTCACCCCCCTTTGCCACGTGGCAGGTGGTGATTGGAGGAGCAAGAAAAAAAAGAAAAAGAAAAAGAAAAAGAAAATGTAACCAATGAGAGAGAGAGGGGGTCAAAGGGGGTGGAAGGAAAAGGGGGGATGAATCATTGTTGTAAAAAAATTATGATTCGTATGATTGAAATTATCTCATTTTGTTTATAATTTTATTTTTTAATATGATTGAAGTTAGATAAACATAAACACTCACAAAAAGAAAAATAAATGTGATTGTAGTTTGTTCAATACTTCTAAATAATCTTTTTATTTACTATTTTAATTTTATTTTTAATATGATTGAAATTAGATAAACA